GCATTGCAGTACATGCCAGGCACCTGCAAAGCAAAATGCATGTTTTATGTGTACAGAACCAAGGTTGCAATGTCATGGGTGATCGCTATCAGAGGCACTTGGATTCCTCACACATTTTCAATGAACTTTTGGTTGTGTATTCCAAAACCCTTTACTGTTGACAATTTTTTTGATCCCACTAAGAAGATGTGGGTTGGAGGACAAGCACTGCATTCCAAGACTTAGAGCACACTTCTGAAAATAATAAAGGGAATGATGTTAAAGCTGTCGGCTATACAGTTCCTAAAAACTGCTTAAACTTGCATCAAAATACAAGCAGGTTTAGGATACAGAAGAAATTCATGAGTATGCCATATTTCGTGGAAAAGGCGCTTTGAAAGTTTTTGTTAGCACTTACATAGTCTGTCTGCTAACTCCCCTCAGCTCCAAATACTAATTAACCAAACATCCATTAAAGGCTCTTACTTAGTCTTCATCTCAGATAATCTGGGTCTAATTGTGCTCTCCACAGTATTTATGACTGGTTTTCATGCTAAGGTATGCTAAGGCTCAGCATGGAGCCCTGTGAGTCTAGAAACTGCTGTTTTACAAGCTATAATCCTATGCAAATTGCTTCCTGTCTCGTGTGCCTCCATTTCTCACCAGCTTCTTGGGTCAGTGGGAAAAGATGAAACACAAAGAAGCTATTAGTTTTCTCCAATCATCTTATTACTGGACTAACAAATATTTCACAAAATTGTCATTTTTCGTTTGTTTTGTTTTGTGACCCTGGCTGGCCTCAAATTCAGAGATTGCCCTGCCTCTATCTCCAGAGTGCTGTGATTAAAGGGGTGAGCCATCACTCCCAGCTGGTGGGGGTGGGGGGAGTTACTGAGAGAGGACTGACTGAACCAAGTACATTTGACAGACAGCTCCAGTTACTTTAACAGAGACTTGTATGAAAAAAGAAAATTTAAAGCCACAAAAATTGTCCGCTACAAATTCCTTTCCCTTCACTTAGCAGTAATGACACACTATGTAGTAAGCATTAAAGAAATACTAATAAATTTCTGTTACTGTACTTTTTACTTCTCATTGTATGATTTCCCTGAACTCTTAAGTGGAATTTTTTTATGTAGTTTTCAGTATTAGCTTTTTCTGATTTTAAGGCTATGCTGTTAGATCACACAAGTGCATAACTGATACAATTTGGTGCATTATTCCTTTGTCCCTTGTATTACTAATAGTCACAACCTGCACTGTCTAATATTACATTTTGCCATGTCAGCTGTCTTGTTTAATCTTGTCTCTTGAGAGGTCATAAAATTTTATACTACTACCATTATTCATTTGTATCATCTTACAGGTTTTCTACTTAATACTATTTTTGCTTTTTCTTTGCCCTTTTAATCTTCTTCCCCATTTTCTGGGTTGAGTTTTCTTGTGCCTTTTCATCTGGCTAGAAATATTGTTTATATTATTTTGCTAATTAGCTTCAAATGTATAAAAAGCTTGTGAACTTTGTTATGAGTATCTACAGAGTTTAACTAATAGAAGGTTCTAGAGTATTTCAAAGGAAAGTAACTACTGAAACCGTCTTATTTGATTCTCCAAACAAAATCTTAATTACTACCTCTTTAAAAATAGTGTTGCACGCCTTTAATCCAAGCACTTGGGAGATATAGGCAAGTGAATCTCTGTGAGTTCAAAGCCAGACTGATCTAAACAGGCCATGGCAACCAGGACTATATAGTGGGACCAAGGGGAATGGGGGAAATAACTTGACCATAATGAGTCTTTAAAAGTCATCATCATGTTCAGTATGATTCTCAACTAACAATGCTGCAAATAGAAGAGGGGATGATTGCTCCATGTCCCCACAGTGTACTGAGTTCTTCCTAGAGCATCCCTTTAGTTTCCCACTTGAGTCTTTCATGCCTCTGCAGAATTATCAGCGGAAGTCCTTAATGACTCAAAGGCAGACTCTTCTTGCAGTTGGCAAACTTGCCTGAAACATTGTCACATCTCACAACATTATACATCTTTAAACCCATGCTATCTGCTGGAAGCTGTTCAGTTCATTGGGGATGAAACATCTATCCTGTTGCCTTTCATGACAATCTAGGTGTGGCTGAAGCTCCCAATCACAACTCATATGCAGAAGCAGCAAAAGTCCCCAGTTTAGTCCTGTCATGAAATACAAGTTGAAACTTACAGTACCACCCTAAACAGTGTAAGTAAGGTCAGCTCTTTCCTGTTAGGTTGTTCCTTAAATTCAAATGCAATATCCTGGGTAGCCCAAGACTACACAAATTTAAAAAAAGAAGCCAACTTTAGCTTTACACTGGTTTGTTCCTTCCTGTCTGCTCAAAACAGTTATTGGTAATATAAACAAGCAGTTTAAGCTGAGAGCTTTGGCCGCCTCCAGAATTAAGACATACAATGTATAAGTATAAAATGTGATTTAGCCTTAATTTGGTAGTCACTGTTCTAGCCCTTTTAAACATTCACCAAATTCCTGCATTCCTTGTTAGGAGTACACCAGTCCTTGGGCTAAGGAGATAACTCAGTAGATGAAAGAGCTCCTGTGAGCCTGACTCCCCAAGCTTGGATCCCCAGATCCCAGGCAAAAGTACCTATAATCCCAGCAGACCCCAAAAGGAAATGGGAGGCAGGGTAGAAACAATCTCCAGAAATGTGAAGGCCAGCTAGCCTGGCTTACTCAGACTGACTGATTCATGTGAGCTAAGAAGGTAAGGACACACCTCCCCCCATCTTCTGACCTCTACAATACATATGCCTACATCCATGAATACAAACTCATCCCTCACCTCTCCCTACTCCTCCCCTCACCCTCCTTCTTACACAGAGACACACAAAATTTTTTTTAATTGTAAGTTCACTAGTCCTATCCAAAGTTCAAGCAGAACGGACAGGATCAGCTCTGCAAGCTGGGGAAAGTTGAAGGCTTTCTTCTGCAATCTCTGCTCTTGGGTACCCAAATCTGACCCCAGTTCCTCCCCTATCCCCAAACTAGTAAAACTATGCTGCAAAAACACACGTGGCTATAGTCACATCTACACCCTTCTATCTCCAGTTAATTGAGTAAGCTTCTAACCTGAACTACAGAAGATGGGAAATTGCCATGAAAAGGAGATTATAAAGTATCAGTGTTCACTGGCCACATCTTGTCTAAAAGACCTAGTCTCCCCCCATACCTCAGTCTGACACCAATGTAGGACATTGCCACTACATACTTGGTAGAGGTAGAGCAGTCAAAACCATGAAGCCATCCTTACTATCATCTTTATAAACTCACCTACTTCTTGAGTCATCCTTTTTTGAAGCCTGCAATATGATCAACTAATGCCCATTCCAGTGTCAGAACTTCTAGAACTAAAAAACTCCGTTGTAATTACAGGTAGAATCTTGGCCAAAACAAAACCCATCAAACAAATTTGTACTAAGGCCCATCTTCCAGCCTGTGCACTTACACACAACTTGGCATCAACTTCATGGTCTGTTAGCCTGTTGACACCTATTAAAGCTCATAGATTCATAAGAAAAATGTCTCTTTATAAAATGACTGTAGTTTTGGTGCAATCAAAGATTCTGTCTACTTGCCGCTTCTACAGACATGGGTTTTCCAATTAGAAAAATGTCTACTAATACTATTTAACATAAACGTTACCTGCTGCTGCTTATATGACTTCACAGATATAGGCAGAAGGTGAGATCTGCTGTTGTTTGTCTGGCAGTACTTAGTATCTCACGGCTTCCTAATGTGACAGCCCTTGAAAACCTGATCTAGGCTGGGCTGTCACTTCCTGTAATACTGCCTCCAAGAGTACACCAAAATGACTATTTGAGAATCACAAGAGTATTTTGAGGTTTAAAGAAAATAAAAAATGTAAAGTAGAAGGTTCTGTAAGATACCATATACAGGATGACATTTCTGGAATGAGGATCACACTAATCTCCACCTTTATTCACTTCTTCCAGAAGTAGTTAAGAAGCCCCCAGCCTCTCACCTTGGAAGTACAAACCCTCCCATTTAATGTAAATCTCCACTTGGCAATTCTAAACTACTGTCAAGCCAAACACAAATGTGTACAACAAAAGCTATTTGTTTTACCTACTGTGCCTATTACAGAATTTGGTTTGACTTTCCTGATCACCACAGAAGTAGGATCTAGTTTACCACACTCTTCCACTTAAAATACCCTGGGGGCTATAATTACACCATCTTTTTTCTGGTCTCCTGTCTCCTAGTATCTAACAGCTAGTTAAATGCCTTCACAAGTAACAGTCTGCAAAAACTCCACTAACAGCAAGCCAAGCTCCACTGGGATATGAGGAAGACGCCTATGGAAGATACAATGAGTTTATGCAGGAACTACAACACTGCAGTAAGGGCTCACCAAAGAAGAGGTTAGAATTTCACTAAATGTCTTCCTTTTAGGGAAACACAAGCTAACTTGCATCACTTTCCAGCCCCAAGAGACTGTGCCCTGTGCCCCAGAAGTCTACTCTACTGATGCTAGCAGGTAACTAGAGTATGCCCTGTGGAGACTTGGAATGATCTAAAGCATAAAATGATACAAGGAGTCCAATGGAACACGTGTGGAAGTGGTCTTTCCACCTTTATGCTTTATGCCTTCAAGCATTCTTTTCCAAACAGTGCTTCCTAGCAACCTACAACCTGTCACTTTGCTAATTAATAGAAACTAGAACTAAATGGTGACACATAAGATAAGTCTGGGAGAAAGTGCCTGCACAATTGTTTACTTCTTGGTGAGCCCTTTCTGCCTGATACTGTACTTAGAATGGATGTTCCAAAGCAAGCTTGCATTTTCAACTGTGGCCTAGCTGTCTGCCCCATTCCCTATGAGATGTGACAGTGACTTATCCCTTCTAGTCACTGGAGTCGTCTTCTCCATTCTTTTATGGGGCCTTGAAGAGAGCTCTGCTCATTTTCTCCCTTCAATATTACCTTCAGTAAATGTAACCAAACATCTGAATAATCTGTTTACAATCAAACTTTAATAACAAAAGAAAAAGACAGGCATGGTGGTACACTTGCTTAAACTATATAGTGAAACTTTGTCTCAAAAAGAGAAGTAATGAACAAAAATTAACATAAATATACTAATAATTATTACATAATTTCTACATTGTATTATATATCCTGATTGACCAAAAATAACCATATGAGGTAAATTATGGATAAGTCAGGAAATAAATATAAAGAGAATACTGCCCTTTTGGGGGCTTTATAGATGAATTATACATACAATCATTACTGAAATTTAATATTTGTAATACATAGTGTACCTAAAGAGCTCTACAGTTTTATCATGGAAATAACCTGTTATCTTTACTTATTACTTACTGTACATGTCATTTTTAGTAGTTTTAAAATGAAAATTCCAGTATCTTTGTGTTGTTAAAATAGCAGTGGTTCCAAAGTTATCCTTTAAGAATAACAGTAAAATTCTAAAGATCTGTGAAATGATTCTCAGTCTTCTGAAACCACTCATAAGTAGTTGAATGTGTGAGAGCAGAGCCATCTACTGGATGAAGTGTAGTATTACAAAGCACAACTCAGCAATTTAAAAAATGAGAATGAACATGGGCAAAAGTCATGTAGTCTGAAGAGTAGGGCTGACCTGTGAAAACCAGCCAGGGACTGCAGTCTACCTTCAGCTGCAGGAGGGGCTGTGTCAATTAGCCTGAGTATTAGAAGCCATGAGAGGTAGTCTGGACCATGGTTTGGGAGAAGGTACAATGAGAAGGAACTTGGTCCCCTTCCTTAGGCATCCTCCTCAGACACTTGTCAACAGTGGTTAGTGACACAGAGTGGGTTAGGTACCTGGTACCTGAATGGCTCTTAAGGATGTGCGCAGGTTATGTACTCACCTAGTACAACACTTTCTAAACACTTTAACGTTCCTGAAAATGCAAAAAGAATACATTTGCCCTTTTACCATCAGCCAGTAAGAACTGTTTCTAGGTCCTGTGAGCTTTCACTAGCCAAGTCCTGGATTGGTCCAGTCTTGGAAACAAAAGCCCAGTGTCAGGTCCCAACTTTCTCCCTTCAAAGGGGCATGAGTGTCCATAGAATCGAGGTAGGAAGTGGAGCTCTCTAAGGCCTCTCTCTTCGGCAGAGACGCCCAGTCTTGACAGTAACTTATCGGCTAAGCTTGGAGTAACAGGCTGAAGCAAGGTTCCAAAAACTCGCAAACATTCAAAGGCCACATGAAGCACAGTACCCAGCCAGAGGGCGTCCTCAGGGCTTTCCCAGGTCAATTTCCATGGTGCATGCCTCTGGATGAAACCATTAGTTTGCCGAACACAGCTGGACACTGCCTCCAGAGCCTTATAAATCTGAAAGTCATCATAATAGTCGGCTACCTGCCTGGGCAAAGTGGCCATCGCACTTACAAGTGCATAGTCTTCGGCCTGCACACGAACCGATGGTCCCGTTAACCCTGGCTCACTGGGGAAACAGGCAGTGCAGAAAGATGGGTAGGTCCCAGAAGGATTTATCCTGTAGGCAGTGCACCGGTTTAAAAGACCTCCTAAGGCATCTGCCAGCTCAGAGTCCAGCAATTTAACCACCTTTTCATCATAGTAGTCGCAGTCCCAGTTGGGAACTCCCTGCCGAAGGAGAAAGTAGCGGAAGCCATCTACAGTATAGCGATCAAGGCAAGTCCTGGGATCCACCACATTGCCCAAGCTCTTGGACATCTTTTGGCCACTAACCGTCCAGTGTGAGTGGACATAGATACGATGTGGTGGCCTCAGTCCGGCCCCTAAGAGAAGGGCAGGCCAATAAATGGCATGAAATTTGAGAATGTCCTTACCTATGATATGAGATGTGGCTGGCCACCAAGACTTGAAATCTGCATCTGGGTAGCCAACTACGGTGAGGTAGTTGACCAGAGCATCCAGCCACACGTAGATAGTCTGCGAATCATCCCCGGGAACCGGAATGCCCCAGTGCAAGTGGCTACTCCTTCGAGAAACGGACAGATCTGGCAGCTCCTCCTCCAGCCATTGAAGAACTGTCTGGTGGAACGGCTCCGGAGTGATCGCCTGAGGATTGTTTCGAAGCCACCGCTGGAGTGGTTCTCGAAACTGGGAAAGCCTGAAAATGTAATTTTCTTCCTTGGTCCAGGAGACAGGATGTCCGCTCTCGAGAGACACAGGACACGGATCCCCTGTCGGACCCACCTGCCGAGTGACCTTTGCCTCAGGCAGGAAGCACTCGTCGGAGGCGCAATACCACCCTTCATAAAGCCCCTTGTACAGCATACCCCGTGCCTCCAGCACCTCCCAGAAGTGCTGCACGGCCAGCCGGTGCCGGGCCTCCGTGGTGCGGATAAAGTCGGTGGAGGAGATGCCAGCCTCCCGGAAAAGCTGCTGGAACTGGGCAGACACTCGGTCGCACAGCTCGATTGGGGACAGACCCGCGGTGGCTGCCGCCTGCTGGATCTTCAGGCCGTGCTCGTCCGTGCCGGTGGCGAACCGCGTGGACGCAGAACCGGGAACGCAGAGACGACGGTGGCGGCACAGAGCGTCGGCCAGCAGCGCCGAGTACAGGTGCCCGATGTGCGGCGCGGCGTTCACGTAGAAAATGGGCGTGGTGAAGTAGGCCCGCGCTTCTCCAGTGTCGCCACCGGCGCTTGGCGAACATGAACCGTAGCGGCGACAGCCGGGGGCCGCCCGGGTGCGCGACAGCACCCGTAGAGCACACTGCCGCAGCATGGTGCCAGCCGGCTCCAGCCCTAGTGACCGCGTCCCGAGCACGTGAGAGGGCGCGTGCGCAGCTGGATGGCACCGCAGCTTCCGGCGCGGAAGCCAATGAACGCCGAGCGCTGGCTTCTACTGCCCCGCCCATAGCGCCTCCCTCTTCAGGCTTCCTGAACGGCGCGCAAGAGCCGCTGGTCGGCGGGAGATTTTGAGTGGTAGGATGTTGGGTTTCCTGTCACGGCCGATGACAAAAGAAGCGTGTCCTGAATGTTATGCTTTGAGCGACAGTTTAACACGTTGCTATCTGTTTCCGGTTCTGGACTGAATTTGTTGGTAAGATTCTATATTTTGAGGCGTTTTAGCATAATGCAGGACACAAATCCAGCCTCCCCATATACTCTAGTCAACATCTGAAAAACCCACTTAAATTTTATCTCAGGATCTAAGTAAATATGAAAAGAAGGAAATTTCCTAGAGCACTTTAGGGACGCATAAGCACTGGAAAAAAGGTTTGTGTAGGTAACCAACTTAGGGCATGCTTCATGAACTGAAACCCATACCTGACACTAGTCAGATGGCCAAGAACATGAGACTAAACAGGCCATGGATCTAAGGGAAAACCAAATACTATTGTTCTGCTGGAAAAAACAATAATAAAATGACTCCTAACAACATTCTGCTATACACATAAATCAGTGTCTCACTCAGCCATCATCAGAGAAGCTTCCTCCTGCAGTAGATGGGAACTAATACAGAGACTCAAAACTGTAAAATGTGCGTGAGACGGTGGAACACTTGGTCCAAAATAGGATGTCTTCATCAAACCCCTGCCATCTGGGCTCAGGGAACTATGAAGAGAAAGCAGAAAGATTGTAAAAGCCAATGAGGATGGGCAACACCAAGAAAACAGTACCTTCCAGACATGATAGGACGGAGTGATGCACAGAGACTGTGGCAGCATGCACTGGTAGGGTCCCAGTGCTGAGAGGAGACAGGGACCCAAGCTCACATCCTTAACCCAAAAGCCATCTCCATTTGAGTTTTACTTGGTACAAGAATCACACTTAATGAAGAGCCCATGCTCAGCAAAAGATGACCAACACAAAACAAGTTTAATAGTTCTCTTGGAGATGTTGTTTCATAATGATTTGTTTGTGCTTCCCCCCCCAGGCAGGGTTTCTCTGTAGCTTTGGGGGTTTCTCTATAGCTTTGGGGGCTGTCCTGGAACTCATTCTATTGACCAGGCTGGCCTGGAACTCACAGAGATGAGCCTGCCTCTACATCCCGAGTGATGGGATTAAAGGCATGAACCATCACTGCCCGGCTGTTTGTGCCTTTTTTATCTGACTTGTCTTTTGCTTCTCTATTATAGTTTCTGATTTTGTGTTTTTATTGAAAGGGGTTTATATGTGTTTCTACTGCTTTGTTTGTTTTCTTTTTCTGTTTGTTTTATCATGGTTGATTTGTTTGTTTATTGGCATGTTTGTTTTTTAAAGAGAAAGAAGGGAGTTGGATGGGTGGGAGGAGGGGAGGATCTGGGAGGATAAGAGGGAAGGAAAACTATGATCAGAATTATAGTATGAAAAGTTTATTTCCGGTTTTAAAAAGAAGGAAAAATTGAAAAGTGGGGGTCTGTACAAGACAAATCCGACTGACAAATCGGATTCTCCATCAATTCTTTCTATCTTTCCCATCGGCATGAATGCAGTGGTTCAGCATGCAAGCATGCTATCTGTCCTGGTTGGTTTCCTATTACTGCAATAAACATCATGACAAAAACAACTCAGGGAGGAAAGGATTTGTTACAACTTACTCTTTATAGTTTGTCATGAAGGGAACGCGAGACAGGAACCGAAGCAGAAACCAGGAGGAACATGGCTTACTGGCTTGACATTACAGCTTGCCGGTTTGCTTTCTTATACAACTCAGGATTACCTTGCTAGTGTGACATTTTCCACAGTGACCTGGCCCCTCCTACAACAATCACTAATTAAGAAAATGTCCCACAGACTTGCCTACAGACAATCTCATGGAGTATTTTCTGAATTGTCATTACCTCTTCCTAGATGACTCTAGCTTATATCAAGTTGACAAAAAAAAAAAAAAAAAAAAAAAACAAACCTAAGCAGCACTCTTTTTCTCTCATCTTATAAATAAAATGTTTGGACTCCTCTGGCTCTGCTTCTTTCCTTCCCTGTGTGACAGAAACCCCCTGGAGTAAATGGCTGTTCATATACACAAGTGGCTCAAGTTTAGAGCTATTAAGAACAGTATTGTTATTCACATTCTCAGATGTCTCTTTTGGTACCTGTGAGTATTCAGGCATCTGTACTGGCCTGTCTTTGGAGTTCTGACAGAATATGCACTCAGCTACAGCCACTAAGAGCACCACCTGTGCATACTCACCTCATTCCCTTCTCAAAGGTCCCTGCCCACCTCCCATCCCCATCCTTCTCTCTCTCTCTCTCTCTCTCTCTCTCTCTCTCTCTCTCGCTCTCGCTCTCTCTCTCCCTCCTTTCCAATCTGCCTCTCTCTCCAGGGGCCGGTCTCCCCCCTCCCATTTCCCTTTTTTATGATCCCTTTCCCTAATAAAAAAAAAGAATCCCTCTGCTTGAACCCTGTCAAATGGTGTCTTTCCCTCCCACGTGCTGCTTTTCTTTTTTTTGTTGTTGTTTTGTTTTGTTTTGTTTTTGTTTTTTGGTTTTTTTTTTTTTTGTTTTTCGAGACAGGGTTTCTCTGTGGCTTTGGAGGCTGTCCTGGAACTAGCTCTTGTAGATCAGGCGGGCCTCAAACTCACAGAGATCCACCTGCCTCTGCCTCCTGAGTGCTTGGATTAAAGGCGTGTGCCACCACTGCCCAGCCAAATTTACACTTTTATGAGTAACATTTCCTTTGAAAAAATTCAGTACTTGGTAGTATCTGTTTTCATTTTGGCCAGTCAAATGAGTCCAAAGTTAAATAAATCAGTAATGTTCACAATATCCAGAAAGTGAAACCACTCAAATATTCATCATCCGATGAATAATTAAATACTGTATATCCATATAGTGCTTTTTGTAGGATGACCATTTCACAAGATTAACTCATCCAACCCAGTTCCTTTCCATCTTGACTTCCTCATTTTATTTCATCTGTGCTTTCATTGTAGTGGTCTTTTATATCCTTTATTAGATTTAATTCAAGGTAAAAATTTTGAGGCTATTGTGAGTCTAAGTGTTTGCCTGATTGCTTTCTCAATGTTTGTCATTGACATAGAGGAAGGCTACTGATTTTTGTGTGTAGATTTTTGTACCCTGCCACTTTGCTCAAAGTGTTTATCAGTTCTAAGGGTTTTCTGTTGGAGTCCTTAGGGTCTCTTATGGGTTGAGTCATATCATCTGTAAGTAGAGATATTTTGGCTTCTTCCTTTCATATTTATATCCTTTTTTTCTCTTGTCTTATCACTCTAGCTAAGCCTTACAGTAATATATCATTTCCCCTCCTTCTCCTCTCTTCAACCCATGTCTCTCCCACTCCATCTCAAGCGTATGGCTTGTTTTTCCTTATTACTGTTAACACATGTGTGCTTATGGGTTGCATACATATGTGCATATACATATACAAATATTACACACACACACACACACACACACACACACACACACACGTTATACACATTGAGTGTTGCTGCCATCTATGTTTTTAGGGTTGGCCACTAGGTGCTAGATAACCATTTAGGGGGTTCATCCCTGGGGAAGACTAATTATCCCTGTTTTGGCAGTCATCAATTGCCTGTAGCTCCTCATCTAGAGGTGGGACCCCATGAGATTTTCCCCAACAACACTGGCATCCAAAATAGTGTTGTCATTGTTCAGGTCTGTTTAAGAATGCATATTGTTGAGATTTCATGGACTCAGTTTCCCTATCATATCTATAAGACACAGTCTTGCATATCTATAAACACAATCCTGGTCCTCTGACTCTTATACTCTTTCTGTCCCTCCTTCTGTGATGGTCCATGGACCTTTAGGTGTAGGAGCTATAGGAGTTGTATTGTAAATGTATCAGTTGGCTACAGGCATCCCATGGTCAGTTGTTCTCTACATTTTGACCAGTTGTGGCTTTTTATAATGGTCATTGTCTGCTGTAAAAATTTCTTTGATGAGGGGTGACAGCTACGCTTATCTGTGGGTACAAGAATAAGAATTTAGAAAGAGGTTAGAAATTACACTGGTTTAGGGAAAACCAGCCAGTAATAGGTTTTCCTCTTGAGTCCATGACCTCACTAGACACTGGTAGTTTGCTAGGTTTACAATACCAGATTGAATTCCCTCCTACTGAGTGGGCCTTAAGTCTACATACAAATAAATCACTTTAAAAAGTAATAAACTATTTGACCATGTATGAAGGAGAATATACATATTTAAGAAATAAACCAACCCCAAAGGTGGGAAAATAATTCTTACAAAACTTTTCATGGTAGGAACTTAAAATAACCAAAAAGTTACTTGCTGAATATTGTAGGAATGCAATGAAGTGCCATGACAGATATTACTCAGAATCCACAGGGACTAGTGTTAAGACTCCCACAGACACCAAAGTCCAAGGATGCGTAAATTAGCTCTAAGTTTCATAATAGCATTTAATATTAAAAGGTAGTGTGGCCAGGTGTTGGTGGTGCATGCCTTTAATCCCAGCACTCGGGAGGCAGAGGCAGGCCGATCTCTGTGAGTTTGAGGCCAGCCTGGTCTCCAGAACCAGTGCCAAGATAGGCTCCAAAGCTACACAGAGAAACCCTGTCTCGAAACCCCCCCAAAATAAATAAATAAATAAAAATAAAAAGTAGTGTATAAATGCCTCCTGGTTGTCAGGCTGATATATTCAGGGACAATAATAGATGTCTGCACATGTCCACTACAGGTAAATTTTCAAAACACATTTCCAATATGCATTTGTTTGAATATCCACATGTGAAACCTACAAATATGAAGAACTAGCAATAATTGTCAAGATGGGAATATATACCACATTAATACATGAAAATAGTTTTCAAATATTAAGAGCCAAACAAAATTTTGTTCTTTTATGATTGTAGGGAGAAAATGGCCTAAGAGATTGTTCAATTATTCAGTGATGCTTTTAATCCCAGAACTCTGAATCTCTGTTGAGTCAAAGTCAGCCTAGTGTATGTAGTAGTTCCAGGTCACCCAAGGCAATAAAAGTGTTTTCCTTGCTAGCATGAGTGCCAGCCAGCATTCAGCCTTCATAATTCACATTTTAAGTGGAAAGGTGGAAAAGCTGAGCAATCCCAACGAGGGAGAGGTGGAGACAAGCAGCTGCCTAGGGGCTTGCTGGCCAGCCAGCCTCAGCTCCTTGGTGAGTTCCAGTCAATGAGAGACACTGTCTTAAAACACAGGGGACAGCTGAAGTTGTTCTCTGGCCTCCATTCACTAACACACACATCCAGCACTCAAGCACACACACACACACACACACACACATATCACACACTGATAATAGTAACTATATACACAATGATGATGCAGTGTTTCACAATAATACATAATTGCATACTGATAACTATATACATACATACATAATAGTAAGAAGGACCTACATCCAGTCAGCCTCCGCTCTCAGTTGGACTCAGAATCTTCTTTCCAGCCCCCATCCCCCTTCATTCTATTTAAAGTGTCTTCCTTGGGCTGTATCAGTGACACATCTAATAGGAAAATGTTTGTCCTTCCATTCCATTTGGTTATTTGATCCCCTTGTATCAGCTACAAAATAAAATCTAAGTTCTATTTGTATAGCGTTCAAGCCCATTTTCACAGCTTAGTTTTTCTTTCATGTTCTATGTTCTAGTAACCAACTGCTTAGTGTTGCTCACCCATGCCATACTGCTTCACAACGGACCTTAGTTATGCATGTCCCTCCCCAAGCACACGCTCCCACCTCTCCATGTCATTCCTCCATGTACTCATCCTTGAAAACAGCCAAGACGTAGTCCCTTAAGTTCCTTTAGAGGACAGAGCCTGTCTAGTCATCTTTTGTGCTTTTTGAGTGCCTAGAAATGGCAGGCACTTGATAAAGACAATGGGTACTTAATAAAGAACTTTGCAAGCATTGTGATTGGTGAGAGACCAGCGGAGATCCCATTTTTACTACATAACAGCACAACAGCCCATTCTACAAAAGGGGACTTGAAGTATGGCAATGTGAGTCTCTATGAAAAGTCAAATGAGTCTCTCAGTCGGCTGTGTGATTCATCTAATTTACCCAGAATTCCCATCCCCTGACTAAGCCCAGCCTTGAACATGGGAACTATGGAATGGTTTCCTATACAAAACACTTTTGAGAAGTAAAAATACTTAAAGGGAAATGGGCAGAAGGAAGAGGCAAAAGATGGCAAAGATTTACAACCTAAATAATCCACACATACTCCCTTCGAAGAGTTTTCATGTGCATACTTTAACGGACTGACCAATCTCTTCAGCCAAGTTTCCGAAGGAGATCAGGATTTATTTTGTAAATAGTGAGAGTGGTACCAAAATCCCTTCCTTCCTATCATGCCTGCCAGCCCTGTCTCATAAGGTGCATATATTAAATGCATTGCTCTCTCTGGGCAGGGTTAGGACAGAAGATGGTTTCTGCCTTGAAAACCATCCAGTGGCAGAAGTACCACTAGGGACATTTTAAGGGGGAGAGAAATTGAAACTCGGAGAAGTCAAGTAGCTTTCCCAAGAGCACGTCTGTGGTAAACCTGAGAAGCAGAATTCACATACAAACAATCTGTTTTCAGGGCTAGTGATAAGGAGCCTAGACCTGAACAGGACACAACACAATAAATTCTCATTGCAATGACTCCTGGGAAGTTATTCCTAACCTCGGGCATGTGGCAAATTATAGGATTAAGTAAGTCAAGTTATCCACATTTTGTGTTTTTATTTTTGATTTTTTGTTGTTTTAAAACATTTTCTAACTAAGCCATTTTGCGAACTATAGAACTGCTTGCTGTCAGTCACCACTGCAAATTTTCTAATAACATGTTTATACCTCGGGTACAGGACTGGAGAGTCAGCCCAGACCTGAGAGCAATGACTGCTCTTGAGAGGACCCGGTCAGTCATGGCTCCAGAGCTCACATGGTGGTTCACAACCATTTGTTACTCCAGGTTCCCAGGATCTGACAACCCCTTCTGGCTACCGAGGGTCCCTGCACACATGTTGGGAAAACTAATTCCTCTCACAACTGTCTCCTCTTTGCAATTATGTAAAGATTTTTAACTATTTTTTCTTTTTTATTAGGGCATGCTAACTGAGCAAAATAAAAATAAAACCATGATGATGTTTCTATACTGTATGTAATGCACTTCGACCATAGTCACTCCGTAAGCCTCGTTCTTCCTCAAGCCTTTTTATGAAAATGTCTTGAGGGGTTTTTTATACTTGGTAGTTTTAATCACATTTTTCTAGCAAAAAGAAATCCATGTAGAAAGAGATTTTCAAACGTTCCACCTAGAACTGAAGTGCTTTCCTTTTTTGTCTTCCTTCCTTCCTTTCTTTCTTTCTCTTTTTTTCCTTCTGTTCTCCTGTTGGAGTCCAGGGTTCCCTAAGAAATCTCACTTCCCTTCTGGAACTGATTTTTGTTTCCAACCACACTGGGGACATTCTCTCTCTCTCTCTCTCTCTCTCTCTCTCTCTCTCTCTCTCAGACTGGCTAGACTGTGTGTCTCTCTCTCTTTTCTCCTTCCCTCCCTCCGTCCCTCCCTTCCTCCCTCCCTCTCTTCCTCTCTCCTCCTCCTCTCCCCCTCCCTCCCTTTTGCTCTCTTGGTGGAAGCGGGAAGAGAGAGCAAGCACAGGACAGAAGAGAGAAAACAGACATAACGGCATCACTTTGACGGACTCTATCTTCTATCTGCAGATAACCACACCCGAGTTGTACTTTTAGTTCCGTTTCTGGACACCTCTTTTCCATTCAGCCAGCTGGGAGAGACAAAGCCCCGTGCCCTGAGCGGCAGAGCTCTGGTCGGGGGCTGGCTGGCTGGCTGGCTGTAAATTGACGTGGCATGGAAATTCTCAGCTAAGTTGCAGCAGTTTGAGAGCTCCTCGAAGACCGAGCCCAGCGTCCCGGAGCTGGAGCTAACCCATGGGCTGAGTGACCTTACAGAAGAATGGATAAAGTCCCCGGCTCCTCGCCTGGGACCCGCCGTTTTCTTTCTGGCTGTCTATCATTTCGCTGAAAATCAAACCAAAGCAGTTAAGTGTGTAACTTCGCTTCGCAGCTTGAACAAGAGAACTGGCTGCTCGCGGTCCTCTAGCTCTTTTCCGCAGTCTAACTCCTTGCAGACTTTGCCATGGGGTGCGGACTTAGGAAGCTGGAAGACTCTGATGACAGCAGCCCTGGAAAAATATTTTCTACCCTGAAGAGACCGCAAGTGGAAACAAAGACAGAGTTTGCTTATGAATATGCCCTGCTGGATTTTACTTTACAAGGTACGCTTACTTCTAACGTAGTTACCTGTTTCCAAATATGAGAACACTTAGTCTTTGAAGTGTGGACCTGTGGATTCTTAAGCTGTTTTTCATAATGAAATTGTTCGGTCCATCTAACAATGACGCTTTGTTTCTTAATTATATCTGAGGGAGATTTTTGGTTCGTGAGCTTTTATTTTTTTAACCATGATTCGTGTGTACTATACAAAATTAGGAAAACTGCTTGGAAATGATTCTCTTGTTTTTAAAGCAAATAGGACAATCGTTTGATTTCTGGGCCAAATTGCTGTAGCCTTAATGACAGCTTGTGTTTTGAAAAGATTTGAAAGGCACCGGACTGAAGTCTGTGGGCAACACTACTTGTATGCCTTGTGGAAAACTTCGCCAAGGCATTTCTGAGGGGGCCAGTGTGTTGAATTTTGTGATTGTGTTACTCATGTGATACGTTTGACCAAACTAAAGTTTGAAAAAACGAAGTTGTTGGTTTGTTTTTAAGGGGAAAAAAAAATAGCCTACTGGAAGAGACTTCCTCAGCTGGCTGCTCCATCTCTAACAGAGAAAGTCTGTTCTAAAAAGTTGGAAACACAAACAAACAAGCCCAGAAGGCACTTGGAGAAGGGGCTGGAGCAACCCATTTCACCAAAGGTTTTGCCTCCCTCCTTGTGGAAACTGAGTACTGTTACAGACACGTGTCCTGTAGAGACACAAGGACATAACAGTGTTTAAAACAAACCGTGTCTTTAATTATGATGTGCTAAAAAAAAAATGAAATTTAGAGAAATTTGCTTGCTGAGTTTTCTAAATACTAGTATAAAGTTCTTAAAGCAAAGCATAATTTTAATTCTCTCAAGTCATATATTTCCTTAATTCATAGAGTTTATATAAAATTGTCCTACTAGATGTTGTCTGTTATTCTCCCCTTCTCCCCCTCTACCAACAACACCACTTTTTTTTTTTTTTTTTTTTTTTTTTTTTTTTTTTTTTTTTAAACAGTGCATCTTTGTGTGTGAAGCAAGAGCAGCCCATTTTTCTTTGTCAGAAATTGAGCTGGCCAGCAAGCACAGCCCTTCCAGAGACCTATAAGATCCCTACCTGTGCTTCGAACATGTTTACCTACCTATTTGGATCTGAGTAAGGATAAGGCTGCCAGAAGGAGAAAAGTTAAGATTCTCAGTTTTCTTCTTTGTCGTGTGAATTTTAAATAGATTGAGGTTATGCTGACAGAAAAGCAGCCAGTAACCAGGAATTTCTACTTGCCTTTTTAAAAAGCCATTCGAGAAAAGTCCTTGTGATGGAGTGCTTTACAGTGGGGCTCACTCCATTGCTTTCATTGTCAGTACAGACTATTTGGGGTGGCAAATGCATAGAGTGCAAAAAATGTGCCCTTCTTGACTATTTGTGAAGCTTAGGCCAGAGCCATTTTCATCCACACTTTAAGATTTTGTTGCACAGCTCAACTTAGGGCTGAAGAACTTTGCAGGCTTGACATTTTTCTGATCCATATCATCCCAAGATGTTAGCACCTCCAACAAATTCATACAGACACAATTACCTTCGAATCGAGAAGGCACACAGCCTTCACTCAACAGTCATGTTGGTTTTGTTGTTAGCAGAAACCTTTTTCTCCGTGAAAGTAATATAATTCCCACCTTCCACTCTAGATGCTGCAAAGGGGCAATTCCATCTTAAAGCACGGGCATGGGTGTGCTGTGCACACACGCTAACACTAAAGCGGGCATGTCTTCAGGCAGCATCTGCTTCCTATTTGGTACAGGCGCCTGGTCTCCTGCCCCATTTCTTCACTGTTCTCCCACATGCTCTTGTTTGGGGGTTTTGTTTGCCCATTTGTTTTGGTCTTGCCTTTGCCTTTGCTTCAGAAGCCAGGACTCTGTGTACCAGCCCAGCTCCGCCCCCTCTTCCAGTCATAGTCCCCTGCCTCTTTCCTCCTGTCTTTGACAGCCACCTGCCTGCCACTCCAGTGTCTACGCTAGTGAATCTGGGTGGGCTAACACATGCCAGCCCTCTGCTTGGCACCGGCATCCCTTCCTGGAATTGCTGGGAGGAAAAATGAATAGTGGCTGCTCCTAGCTGCCAGATTACCACACAGTGAGAAACCTAGGCAGAAACAAAATGGCCTGGTGACAGCTGTGTGTGTTCACAATGAGCCTGTCTCCTACTTTCCTCAGTTTTTTTTTTTTTCAAATGGAATAGAGAATAAAGTTTAAAGAGGGGGAGACTTTAGAAACGCCAAGTCCCTATGTTATGTGCCATTTATCTTGAACCGTTTGTTTATTTCCCATTCAGTTCTACCTCTCTCCCCATCCCCAGTCATTTCATTGCAAATTCTGTTGTGCAAAGTTTCCACAGTAGTATATGTATTGCAAGAATAAATGTTATTTTATTCCAATGCTAAATGGTTCAAAGTTGCCCCTCTCTTACGGCTGGACTCATTTATTACTAGTCCCTTCCCAACCTTCTCATCAAGCATCTAACAGGTGCTGGGGAGATGGCTCAGTCAGCAGAGTGCTTGTCCCACAGAAAAGCCAGGCGTGTCTGTTGTACTCCCGGCACTGGGGACACAGACAGGCAGATCTCTGGAAAGCACTGTCCTTCCAGCCTAACCAGCCCATGAGCTCCAAATCCAACCAGAAACCTGTCTTTAAAAGTAAGGTAGAAAGTAATTGTGGAAGACAACCAGTGTTCACCTCTGCCCTCTGTGCACACTCATACACACTTGAGCTCACACGTGCGCGCACGTTCAAGCACAAATCCAACCAGAAAAGAAACAGCTTCAAATCCCCAGCTAATTCTCTCTCCAATTCTCTTGACTACTTCCCAAGCTTGCTCTCTGGTTCGCTCTGCTTTCCTGTCCTTTCTTTGTGCTTTTCTGGTCTTCCAGTCATTCACAGCGTCTCAACAAGGAAAACAACAGCAAAATGATTAGGCATACAAGACTCTCTAGCCATAGTTCCTGGGTCATGGGTCGTTTTCAGCTGCTCTAGCTGATTCCTTGTTTACAAACAGGTATTTAGGTATTGAAGGAAGTGAACGAAGACTACCTATGATGGGGTACCTCATGGTTAGTGAGTACTCACTAAAAGCCAGCTGTTACTGTCCCTCCTGTGACAATACCTGTATCTCTGAGGCTGGGGATGGACCTCATCCCTTTCCTTCTTCAAAAGAGGGAGCATGGGCCCAGCAAGTGTCCTGGGCTGATTTGGTATATAGCCATAAAGAGAACAACTCAACAAAAGCAACAAGAGTGTGCTTCCAGAACTGTGTGACACCAGTGAGCAGAGAGCACAAGGTTACCACAGGACACAAGTAAGTGTTAGAGAATGTCCGTGAGGAATAGGAATGACGCTCTATAGAGGATATACTAAAAATCAACAAGAGTTGATAAATACGTGGCCAGAAATAGGAATTAGAAAGAAAGAGCGAGGCACGGTGGTGTATGCCTAGAGTCCCAGGTCTTAGAAAGATAAGACAGAAAGACTGCAAGTCTGAGGCCAGCCTGGGCTACACAGCAAGACCTGTCAGAAATAAAGAAAGGAGTGAAAGGGCAGGGGTGAAGGGAAATAAAAGTCAGGCACATTTTGTATAACTGTATCAATCTAATAAAGTCTGGAGCACTTCCCCCAACAATCAATGTTGTTTTTTTAATGACTGAATCCTCTTAAGTGTTAATCTAATATCTATTCTTTCTTTTTACTAAACCATATAAGGTGTTCCATTATGTATGAAATGACATAGTATGAAATGAGAGAAATAACAAATCTCACAAATACAGACTATTGTGGAAAAGTATTCCATTCTGAACTGGGGGAGGAAGGGATCTCTATTAATAGCCTACAGCTGACCGACTTTTAAAAGTGCCAAGAGCTGGAAATGTAGCTTAATTGGTAGTGTCTGCCTGGTATGCATGTCTTGGGTTCAGTCCCCTGCACTGCATAAAACCAAGCACCAAGATACAGGCCTATAATCCCAGGACTGGGCAAGTAGAGACAAGTCATCCTTGTCTGCACAACAGGTCTGGGGCCATCCTGTGCTACATGAGACCCTAACTCAGAAACAAACCAAAAAGAAAAAAAAAGGAAGAAAGAAAAGAAAAGAAACAGCCAATGCATATGCATTCCTGCTAGATATCTGTGTCTTCTCTGGGGCTTCTTTTCCTACCTGTGTCCTTTTATCAAGTGAGGTGGGCTCTCTGAGAACCCCTGTGCTTAAAAGCTGTGGTACACTATAGAAAAGCCTGGTTTACTCCCATGCTAAAAGCTGTGGTACACTATAGAAAAGCCTGGTTTACTCCCATGCTAAAAGCTGTGGTACACTATAGAAAAGCCTGGTTTACTCCCATGCTAAAAGCTGTGGTACACTATAGAAAAGCCTGGTTTACTCCCATGCTAAAAGCTGTGGTACACTATAGAAAAGCCTGGTTTACTCCCATGCTAAAAGCTGTGGTACACTATAGAAAAGCCTGGTTTACTCCCATGCTAAAAGCTGTGGTACACTATAGAAAAGCCTGGTTTACTCCCATGCTAAAAGCTGTGGTACACTATAGAAAAGCCTGGTTTACTCCCATGCTAAAAGCTGTGGTACACTATAGAAAAGCCTGGTTTACTCCCATGCTAAAAGCTGTGGTACACTATAGAAAAGCCTGGTTTACTCCCATGCTAAAAGCTGTGGTACACTATAGAAAAGCCTGGTTTACTCCCATGCTAAAAGCTGTGGTACACTATAGAAAAGCCTGGTTTACTCCCATGCTAAAAGCTGTGGTACACTATAGAAAAGCCTGGTTTACTCCCATGCTAAAAGCTGTGGTACACTATAGAAAAGCCTGGTTTACTCCCATGCTAAAAGCTGTGGTACACTATAGAAAAGCCTGGTTTACTCCCATGCTAAAAGCTGTGGTACACTATAGAAAAGCCTGGTTTACTCCCATGCTAAAAGCTGTGGTACACTATAGAAAAGCCTGGTTCAGCCCCATGCTAAAAGGGTAG